CCTTAAGGGTCCTTGTGCGTTTTCATAATCACTGTTTAATTAGGAAATTTTGAAAAATTTTCATCAGTTTTTCTTCAAATAAAAATTGTGCATAAGTTAACGAGTAATCTTCTAAGAGTTATACCATTTTGGGATCCTTATTAAATGCGCCAACTTTTAAGGTTACTTGCCAAACTCTCGTAGTACATTTTTTCCAGTACAGCCAGTTAAAGTTGAGCAAAGTTTTACTTTGGAATACTTGGTTGGGAAATAAGTGGCAATTTTTCCTGAACGAGAAAAGCTGGCAGTAAGGTTGAGACACCAGTTTGAAGATGCATTATTCATCATTACATTGTAAAAATAAAATCCAACAAAAGTTAATATTTGTAGTAACAGGAGTTGACAGACTGCCGTGGGGTGTGAAATTTCTATATTTTTTTCAAAGACCTATAATTTTCAAAACACATACATAAATTTTTTTTAAATATTTTTCTGATAGCTGTTATGACTTTGCCTATCACCCGGTTTCGGCTTGACGTCGACTTCTGGGACACCCTGTATACTGAGTATACCGTAAATCTACGATAACTGAATGATATCACCAAACAATACTTAGCCACCACAAACCATTTTATCACTTGTTGTTCATGGCAAGGTAAATCGATACGTAAAAAATTCTTCGATTCTAATAAACATACGTAGGTGTTTACCTCTTTTGGTCTCTCAGTATACATGAGAGGATTCCAAAATTTTCGATTTTTAATATAAAAGCGTGTAGAAAACAAAAAAGTAGAATCCTAGCCGAAAAACAGCTTCGCTTGTTTGGGATTAAGGTGATCACATGTTGCATGGGGTGGGGATAATAAACAACTCTAGGGCTATATAAATACTAAGGTCATTTAAACTGTCAAATGGTGATGTAGGGCTAATTTATAATGCCACAAATTCGCTCAAACGGAATTGGTACATAACAACGACAACCAATGAATGATAATTAGCAGGAATGGCATTCGTTTGAATCAATCTATAATCTAACCTCCTTCCCTGGTCAAACCTTCCTACCCGCCCAAAAATCGTGTTATAACCAGTTTCCATCTCTTGGCATAAACATACCTGTTGTTGCAAATAAGTGTCTTGTTCTCTACTGTGTTTCCTGTACAAAGATCTCGGACTCTAAATTGCCATCGCAGATATCAGGGTGACGCAGCGTCAACGCCACGCAAGGGCTCTAATCAGCAATCAAACTACAGACAGTCCGGGTAGGTTGTCGTCTATGACAGACGACTGCTGATGGATCGACTAATGATTTTGTGCTTAATGTGATCCAAAAGCGGTCGCTGGGAGTACACGGAGGAAGGGAATACGCCTACGCATCAATACGATAGCGCGTCTCACAATGGATTTGACATGGGGCGGTGACTCATGTGACGGGAGACGTGTCCAACACGATGTATTCGAACAGTTCGTTTATAGCGTCTTCTTTGGGCGAATCCAGTGATGTACTGGTGAATATTATGTATTAGCCTAAAGTAGTGGGGTCGTTTTGCTTTAGGGTGAAGGTAAGTGGTTTCGGAGAAAAAAATGCAATAATCACTTTGGCAGTGGATATCTTTTATTTAATATTTCAATGCAATGTTTTCGAAAGGTTCTGTTCCTAGGAGTTTCTCATCTATCAAAACTCTATCCTTATGCTAAAATACGTTTCCACATTGCTTTTGGATCACATGACGTTCATCAACAACCACGCCAAAGCAACGTCCTGTTTTCCAGATACATGGAAACAGATTGTTGTTATACCTATTCTTCCCGCATTTTCAAAGCTTTTGGAACGGGAAACCGAAATACAAATATCCGAGTATTTTTTCAGTAATTAAATAATTCTTTCAAAGTAGTTAGGGTTCGGGGAAAACCGTGGCGCAACAACGGCTCTAGCCAATAACACTGATGATGTTATGAGGAGACTTGATCAACGAAATGTCACATGTTTGGTTCTGCTAGATTACACAAAAGCTTTCAACATGATAGTCCAATGTATAAACTAATCTGCAATGCTGAGGTTTGTCACTAAGTTTGTAGCGCCACCTTGGGGATATACTACGAACTTTTTATAGAACCTATACGAATTGTTATAGAACCCTAAAAATATAGAATACCCAGAGCCATCTTCGGACTTCTCTTTTACACTGTGGAGCTAAATCTGAATTAAATATTTAAATTACATACAAGGTATTTTACTTAAAATGAGGCTCAACCTGATTTTATTGTTAAAATGTGTATTTTTTCAATACAATACATAAAAATAACAGTTATGCCAGTTGTTAGTAATCTAAGAATAATCGATATTACCGATGTACCATGTAAATTTATAATTAGCAATTCCTCTACTCCCTTCATGAGTTTCTGGACTAGTCTGAACATTTTTCGAAACAAAACTCAAAAAGAAGAATTGAATTTTATTGTTTTTATGCTAGGTAAATTTTTCAAAGATCGTACAAGCCGTAAATACAGTGAAAGATCTTGAACTGTCAAAAAGAACGACGGGAGAATGCAGCATCAACGCCACTCAGCGATTGTACTCCGTACTAACTATATAAGATTATTTGGTTGCCTATCAAACAGACCTTCAAAGTCACTCATTTACCTTTCTTTTATAAGGTAGGTGTTATGTGAGTCCAATTAATACACGGAGCAAATGCCCTGTTTATAAACCCTCAGTCTTTTCGGTTGGACCAACGGCTGAGCAGACCACTCATGTCAAATTCCAATAAGCTGTTTGGGCACCTGTGAAATAGTTATTTCAAAGCTATTTCCCGGAATAAAAAGCAGCCTACGTGCGATTTCAGACCATAATCTAGTTGTGTTCCAAATTTCATCCCGATCTCTTACTTCACATGTGTCGTATGACCGAAGACAGCTCCTGATTATGTGGTCAGCGATCCACAGTGTCACATGTTACAGCTTTCGCTGGTGGCTGCATACAAACATTTTTTACAGCAAGTTTTCTCGAAGAGTTATCTTCTCTTATTCAAAACTTGACAGCACAGGATAGATCAACGAAAAGAAAAAAAATCACTGACAGACGGAAGCATGAGACACGAAGTGACAGATGTTTCATGGTCTACTGGAGATAAATTTTGGATAAATTTGAGCAGAGTACGGAAACTATACAAGCTCTATCAAAAGGAAATCCTATAAGTTTGATGCCGCAACTGCAATAGCCAGAAAAGTATTGCTGGTATGCGAAGATTTGTTGACTTGGTTCGCTCTCCACTTTGGCACAACAAATAAGCGTCTGGCCGACCAAAACGACTAAGAGGACATTACTTCCATCGTATACTACACTGTATATTCGTTTTCTTAGCGCGATCATCTTGATTTGCATTTTTTTGGTATTTTGATTTATTTCAGATATACTAAGTGACATATAAATCCGAACACCCAGTTTAAATGGTTTTATTTTAATAAAAGTTGGTGAATGTATTTATCTTACTGTAAATAACAAGTGAAAAAATTTTCACAGCCTTAAGCAGT